ATGTTTACTAATACGTAAATAAATATAATTACAGTCAAAGTTGCGCGTTGGCAAACGTGAAAGTCAAACTGTTGCAACTTTTATGGAACGGAGGATAGTATTAATCATCAAAGTTTTGGATTTGACTAATCATTTTGGGATGGAGGTAGTATGATATTGTGCATTTAGTCATTTTTATATTTAAAAAAAAATGAATAAGACTTTCGGACATCGCTATGTAGATACACTTGTCACATAATTGTACCTCCCTCCACTCATCAGCTACTCAGCGACTCAGTCATCGCAACTCGCAAGCTCTTGGAACAAGATGAACTTGTTTTTGGACATTAGTACATTACTAATTAGTCATTGGAGATTTGTAACCAATGTAAGTATTTATTTTGGGCTTCATAATTGTAATGGAGTTTTACAATACTCTAGAATTAAAAGTAATAATTGTTGGGTAGGAAGTCGGTACGGTATTATACCGGTGTACCGCGGTATTTGAAAACAGTTACCGTTACCGTACTGAAATAAATCGGTACAGTATGATACCGTACCGAAAATGACGGTATACCAATATTGCGGTATTTTTCGGTATTTTTCGGTACGGTAAGTGCGGTATACCGATTTTCCGGTATTTTTGCTCATCCCTACTTATTACAATAAAACCGGCTAACATTTAGGAAGAATGGATTGGTCTTTTTTTTTTATATAGTATTGGTCTAATTATTTTGTTGGAAGAAAATGAGGCAGTTATATTTAAGATTTTCATGGTAGTTTTTCCCCCATAAAATAATTGAGTACAACATTGGTGAATTTTGTACTATTGACACAATTTATTTTGATTATATTACATTTTATTTAAAGTAATCAAAGTAGAGTGTGTCAATAGTACAAAATTCACCAATGTAGTACTCAATTTATTTATGTATTATAGAGTATAAATTAAATTTATTACATTTAATCTAGTAACATATTACTAATAGAATTATTAGACCATTAGTATTGTACTTTACATTAAACTCGCCCATTATAAATATATCTGTCAGGGCTCCATAGAGAGCATCATGTTCCATTATTCTCACATGGTATCAGAGCACACTAAAGCCCCATTTTTTTACACTTTCCCTACGTTCGGCGCCGCTAGGCTTACACCACAACCGTCGCCGCCTCTATTTACGCTGCCGCCGAGCTATGTCTTCTGAGCCCATCTCTTCTGCAGCGTCTCCCATGGCGACAGCTTCCGCAACATCTAGCTCCTCCGTCGCGGCCGTTGCAGCGTCGTCCGCTGGTATCCCACCGCCGACGATCTCCTCCGGCTTCGCCTCACCCAGCCAATACCCCAGGCCCTATTCTCTGTTTCAGCATCCTCCGCCGACGTTCCATTGGTCAGCCCCAGTCCTGGTGCAGCAAGTTCCACTCGAGCCACCTCCCTTCTCAGTTCCTTCCTTCGTTGGACCCACTTTTGTTGGGTCGCCGGGAGTTTCTTCTATCCGGACACCAGCAGGCAGCCCCTCAAACTCTCCCTTGGCAAAACTTGCTCAAACCATATCACATGTGGCGACCAATGTCACCAACATCGTGACTACCAAGCTTCTAGCAGTCGAAGATTACACTACGTGGCGGACACAATTTGAGTCGTTTCTTGTCTCGCAGGGCCTCCTTGGCATGGTTGATGGCTCAATTCGGGTACCTCCTGCTTATTCCATAGATGTTCTTAACCGTCAATTTCCCAATCCCGAATTTTCTACTTGGTTGCGCATTGACCAAACCATCCGTTCATGGTTATTTGCCACTCTTTCTCGTGATGTTCTTATTGATGTTCGGGATTTAAAACATTCGTGTGAAATTTGGGAACGGTTAGAATCTCGATTTATGTCAACCACTTTGGCCAGATCTATGGAATTAAAGCGCTTATTTTCCCAAATTAAAAAGAAACTTGATCAGTCTACGGATGATTATTTAAGGGAGATTAAAATTTTGGTTGATGATCTTGCTATTATTAATTGCCCTGTTCCCCCTCGCGAAGTGCTCAAGATTACTATTATGGGTTTGGGTTTCGAGTATGAATCTATGTTCACTACTGTCTCACTATTCCCTGACAATTTTCCGTTTGAGAAACTTCGAAATCATCTTCTTGAACAAGAGCAGCGGGTTCTTTATCTCCGCTCCCAGGGCACTTCATCCATCCATCAGGCTTTCGGTGTCGCCACTTCTTTGCCCGTGCAGTCCGACAGTTCGCAGCCCGGCCCCGTCTCCCGTCCACCCAACTCCATTGCGCCCACAACTGTTTCTAATCAACACCCCATGCAGACCCGTGCCAAGGCAGGCATTTTTAAACCTAAAACCATCTTTAATTTAAGTACAATTGTTATTCCTGCGGATTCCACCTGTTTTACTGAGGCTAATAAACATTTAAAATGGCGAGAAGCAATGACTGATGAATTTAATGCACTCATTAACAATAATACTTGGGATCTGATGCCCTTTAACAATACTAAGAATATTGTTGGATGTAAGTGGATTTATAAAACCAAAGATCATTCTGATGGTTCCGTGGAGCGCCATAAAGCTAGATTAGTTGCTGAGGGGTTTAATCAACAGGCTTGTATTGATTTTTCTGAAACTTTTAGTTCTGTCATTAAACCCACCACTGTTCGTATTGTTCTTACATTAGCTGTATCTTTTGGTTGGGTTATTCGTCAACTTGATGTTAAAAATGCCTTTTTACATGGTCACCTGACAGAAGAAGTCTATATGCGTCAGCCCCGTGGTTTTATTCATCCTCAATTTCCTAATCATATACTCCCTCAGTACCAAATTGTAAGATACATTTACTATTCACTTGGTCAACATAGATCGCTCTTAATCTTTTACTTTATATAGCAAAAGTTAATGAAATTCGAATTATTTTTTGCAGGTTTTGTAGCGGTTTTAATGTAGTTTCTGAATATGTAAGTTTTTTTTCTAAAACTAATTTGAGAGTTGACAAGGATCAACTTGCTTTATCGTCGGTCAAACATCGTAAACCGTAAAGTATCTTACAAATTGGGACGGAGGGAGTATGTCGTTTGCGCAAGGCCATTTATGGTCTGAAGCAAGCACCACGGGCTTGGTTTCATCGGTTTAGTAGCTTTTTACTACAACATAATTTTACCTGTAGTAAATCTGATAATTCATTATTTATTTTTCATCATAATAATTCTATCATTTATTTATTATTATATGTAGATGATATTATTATTACTGGCAATTCTGAGTCTACCATTACCCAGTTTATATCAGTTATTTCTAAACACTTTACCATGAAGGATCTGGGTAATCTCCATTATTTCTTGGGTCTTGAGGCAATTCGTTCTCCCAAAGGTCTGTTTCTCTCTCAACACAAATATGTCTCTTATCTAATAACACGTTTTCATCTCCATACGGTTAAACCGGTTCGCACACCATTAGCTTCTCATACTACTCTGTCTCTTTCTGATGGTGAGTTACTGACGGACTCTCTTGAGTATCGCAGCATGGTAGGTGCGTTACAATATTTAACTTTGACAAGGCCAGACATTACTTATGCAGTACACTTAGTTTCTCAGTTCATGCATGCCCCCCGTACTACTCATCTACTTGCAGTCAAAAGAATTTTCAGGTACTTGCAAGGGACACGTGATCATGGGTTATGGCTACAGCGTTCTACTCGATCCACATGTGTTGTTGCCTATTCTGATGAAGACTGGGTTGGATGTCCTGATAGCTCACGGTCCACTACTAGCTTTGCTGTCTTTTTGGGTCCTAATTTAATTTCTTGGAAATCCAAGAAGCAGCCCACCATCTCAAAGTCATCCACAGAGGCAGAGTATCGTGCTATTGCATACACCGTTCAGGATACACTCCACATCAGATCTGTTCTCTTTGAGCTCAGCTACCCCATCACGGAACCTGTGCATCTATTATGTGATAATATTTCAGCTTCCTATCTGACTGCAAATCATGTCCAGCATGCTCGGAGTAAGCATATTCAGATTGATTAACATTTTGTTGCCCATGGAGATCTAATCGTTCAACATGTTCCTACACATCTACAGTTGACATATATTTTTACTAAGAGTCTACCTACTCAGCGTTTTCATTTTTTGAAGGACAACCTGTGCTTTGTTTCTCCCGCACAGCTTGAGGGGATGTAATAGAATTTATTAGACCATTAGTATTGTACTTTACATTAAACTCTCCAATTATAAATATATCTATCAAGGCTCCCTAGAGATCATCCCGTTCCATTATTCTCACAATTACTACGTATAAAATAACATTTTATAATAAATATAAATGTACATATGTAGTGCTATATAATTTTTCCGTTCTTTAAAAGTTATAACATTGAGATTTTCACACTATTCACACATCTTACTTTGACTACGATTTTCTAATAATATTCGTATATATAATCATAATAATATGTATAAAATATTATTAATTTATAAGTTTTATACTTTTATGAATGATTTTTTAATAAAAATCATGCTCATATAATTTTTATATTTTAAATAATTTTGTATGGGAAAATATCATTGGTCAAACTTGACCATCATTGACCAAGAAAAGTCAATTTGACCAATATTTTTGGGACGGATGAAGTATAAAATAGTTAAACTCATCTGATTTTAAATTTTACAAGAGGAATGAAACTGTTGAATTTGTGTGTTGCCAAACACAAAAGTTGAACGGGTGGTGCGATTAAAAAGGAATGGAGAGAGTATGTATAAGGGAAAATTCCCGAAATATGAGTAAAAAATTTTGAAAATTCTAAAATATGATTGTCTTGGTTTTATTCTCAAAATAGGAGTAATTACCGCAAGTTTGGAAAATAGTGTAATGTTTAAAATCTGGTACTGCCAAAACATGGTAATAATTAGTCATATTTTGGGAATAAAAATATAATAGTACTTCGTATATGATAGTCCTACTTTGGAATATTTTGGTAACTTGTGTGTATGTAAGTATATATAGCATGCATGCATGCATACCTCGTTGTGCTTAGAGAAATGATTGTTGGAAATGGTAATGGCAGTGGATCCCATGAGAGCATCAACAAGGCCGTCTGCGCAGTTAGAGAGCGTGTTGTGATCGATCCATACATGGGAGGAACCGAAGATGTTGATGGCATCGCCATCGGACTTGGTCCTCCACCCGTAATGGCCTTCTGAGCTCCTAATCATGCCGCCTGTGCCCGACGTGCAGCCATCCATGCTGAGCCCATGGATGATGACGTTGCTAACGTACTGGACGGTGATGCACCCTTTTCCCGTGATGTGCACTTTGACTCCACGGGCGTCGATGGTCTTGACGCTGGCCATGATCAGTTCCTGCTGCAACCTGATGGTCATGTCTTCTTGGAATATGATCCAGAGGGGCTCTGCCCGGGTAACAGCATGCCGGAGAGTGCCATTCCTGGGGTTCACGAGGTCGTCGTCGCTCGCGTCGGTGACAACGTAGAGTCTCCCACCCTTGCCGCCCATCGCATCCTTTCCAAACCCTACGCCGCAATCCGCAAGTGTCTGCCGGTTGTTTTCCCAATTCGGGTCTCTTCTCCAGCAGTCGTCGATGGGATTCCCAGTCAAAACAAAACTGCCGCTTGACCCAAGTTTCCGCCTCCTCTCAATGCTCTCCCCGATACGACTGCATATATTCCACACCATTTGTTACCTACCTACGTACCTACTATTGCTATCCGCCCACTTTCACTATTATTCGATCATACTCTCCTTATATGTTTATACGGAATTATTTTTATTATTAAAATTATTATACTCCCTTCCTAATTGTTCTTCCGATTACGGATTACCGACTTTGATCTTTGTGAAAGTTCAAATAAATAAAATTTACATATTCAAAAACAACGTTAAAATCACCTCACAGCCTACAAAAACTCATTCAATTTTCATAAAATTTTGATATATAAAGTAAAAGATTAAGAATGATTTAAGTTGACCATCGAAAAACGAAATGGAAGATCTTTAAGGGACGTAGGGAGTACCAAAATGTTCCATTTTCAAAATACTTTTCATAAAATGTACATAAAATTTATATATTACTACGTATATATATAAAAGTATAACCATTAAAATCATTGTTCAAAATCATTGTTCAATGTGGCAAACCTTTTTCAGAACGGGGGACTTAGGATCAAATACAAACAGTCGTTCTTCCTGTGAAAATTTGGAATAAATTTGGAGCATCGGATTTAAGATCTAATGACTTTAAATAAGTAAAAATGCATCAAAGGGGAAGAAAAACACGGTGGTGTTTTCGTAAATAAATCAAAGTTTTTCTTCTTTGCAAAAGTGTACTTCCAACGTGCAATAGTTGATGGCATGGTGCAAAATTTCTTAATGCAATAGTGAAACTCAGATGCTCAAAAGTGGGGGCGTTCACATTTTATATTTTAAAACCACTTTTTATTTGAACCGGAAGTTATGTATACATACACAATTAAATACATTAGTGAAAAATAGTGTTATATGTGTGTGTATTTTGGCGCAATGTTTTTCAATGATTTGTTTAATTGATTTTCTGATCGAATTTTAAGCTGAAACTAAAATATGTGAACATAATCTAAACTTGGTGAAGAACGTTCAAAAATTTTAATCAAAGAATTTGAGTGGGAACTGAGTCAAATTGTCTAGCTAATGAATAAGACTGCTTACTCGACGACATTGGATATAACAGCGTGAGGATCATCTACTGCGTGCTTTCTCAAAGTCGCCATATGTTCTGCCAACCTGAATGTAATCATAAGCAATTAATTAAACCTAGCTAGGCCAGGGCAATATAATATATAATATTCCATAATGGGAAAACATGCATGATCTTTTATGATTTTTAAAAGAGCCAAATATATATAAAGTGTATCATTATAAATCTGAGACAAGGTAGAGAAGTACTCTTTTACCTTTCCTCATCCAATAAGCTGTGTATTTTTTGGTGATGAGCAATCCTGCAAAATCAAACCTCTCATACACATTAATGAAATTGAGTTCTAAAGTGTTAGAAAATGAAATTTGACACCAAGTGTTAGAAATATTTTTCTTTCAATGGATTAATCATGACTTCTTGACCTTATAGGATAGAAGAGAAGGTCTAGCTTTAATGTAATGTTTTGGGCTTATATTCAAGACAAATAATAAACTATACTTATTTAAAATAATAATTATAATAAAATTATCTAATAAAGGTCATTAAATAAAAACGGAACTCATTTTATTATTATTATTATTATTTAAATTACATATTTGGTGAAAAGTAACAACATAAGTATCACATAAAAAGAAAAACATTACTTAAAAATCTTTCTCGCAGAACATTATGAAGCAAAATCATCAATAATTACTTCATAATCAACCTTTTCAAATATCTCATGCTCAATGCTTAAAATTGCTAACTCATTAAGTCTTTGTTGAGACATAGTCGATCGCAGACAATTCATCAGAATCTTCAACTTTGAAAAACATTACTTAAAAATGTTTCTCACAGAATTTTCAAGATTCAATTTCTTAACAAAAACAAAAATTTCCATTGATATCCTCTAACTTAACCCTGTCTTTTCTAATCAACTTCTCTTTCTCTCTTTATCCCAACATGATTCATGAATGGATTGTTTGAAGCCTTGAAAGAAGAAGTTTTTTTGTCACCGACCGCTGTTTGGGTTTCTCGATTGATTGGCTTCAATTCTTAACAAACCGTTGAGGCACTCACGACTTTGTAGCGTTCTTTACTCTTGTTGATATTGGAATTTGGAAACAACAACTCAATTTGGATGGACTTTGTGAATTGGGAGTTTCCTATTTGGGAGGCCAAACATAACTTGGTAATTTTGTAATTAAAAGGATTATAAAGCCTAGAGATCTGAAGAGAATTAAGAGAGGCGTGCCACTTTTCATTTATTTTAAAAATTAAACTCTAAGCCAATTAAATGAGCTTAAAAATTAAAAAAAAGAAACATACTCACACTACATACAAAGAAATATTTTTGAGCCTATTTCCCCCCCAATTTTCTTGGGCCTAGGGCGGTCACCCCTGTTGCATCCCTAGGGCCGCGCCTGTGAGCAACCATCACATATCGACCACCGGTGGCTCGTTAGGGGAGGCATGGGGTGAGCGGTAGGTCGGATAGAAATATTCATTTATATATGCACAAAAAAAAGCGTTTTTATAAACTTTCACACATTTTTTTACAAGTAAAATTAAATTATTTTACTAAAATCAGGTTGGGTCAGAGCACGAGTTGGCCCCCTGCATGACTTCGCCCATGTCAACCATGTTTAAACGTACAAACCAACATATAAGCTAAGGTATTAGGTTATCCTCATGTTGGCATTTTAGGTTTAATATAAAATACAGAATAGTATACTACATAATACAATTATACAATGGCTATTCCTTGACCTTTTGGATGATCAGAAACAATAGTAGTAACTAGTAAGGTAAAGGATAAAAGAAATTATCCTAGATCAGAGTAAAAATAGTCTCAAAATTTTCAAATAAAATTTCATGTTTTTATTTGTTAAATAGAACTTCATGCTACTTAATTTAATTTTCTACCTTTAATATAATTAAATCCACAAACCATATTAATTAGTTATCACATCCTTTTACTATAAGTCACCATTAGGCCCTCTCTGCAGCACCCCTCTCATTCCTGTAGCATTTCAGTTGCCATTTCTCCATTGATGCCGGGTTACTACATGTTGTAGATCTTCACCACCCCCTCTTCTTCCTCATCTACTCTCGTTTTTTACTTCTTTTGTATTGATGAATTTGTTTGAACCTTCTTCATTTTTGTATTTCGATCGATAAATCTTTTTGAATTTTCCTGATTTCCTTTTCTGACCATTTTGAATATGAAAATGATAAATTACTACTACGTATTTCTTATTCAAACACTGATTGAAGATTAATGTCATTTTTATAACTATATCATCACAATGAAAATATAACTTCGTTGAAAAATCAGTATTTATATGTCATGTTTTTTCTATATGATCGAAAATGAACTTTTGAAAAATTATGTCGTTTCTAACTTTATGAAGATGGGAATTTTACTTTTGAAGTTTTGATTTTCTCTTTTCTTCCTACAATTGGAAATGTCATTACCTTATATATGAAAATGGCACTACATTTTAACATGTCACTACATACTACGGAGCATGTCATTATTTTTATGAAGATGACAATTGCACCGTAGATCGGCAACTGACTCACCGGAGGAGGAGGCAATCACGCCGGAGATCGGCAATGGTCTTGCTATGAAAGGGGTTGTCGCGTTGGAGGAGATGGCGTCTATGAGTAATTCGACAACCCTGAAGGAGAATGTGCCTGAGGATGCAACAACGCTAGATGGTGGGGGAGGTGAAGGTGTACTTGAAAACTCTTAAGGGGTCTGGTGTCCCCAATTCGGATTCTAGAGGATTTTAATGGAGTTTAGAATTCCGTCAGAATTCAGGTGTCCCCGATTTGGATTTCTGTGGAATCCATGAAAATAAGAATGTCCTCAAACATTCTGTGGATTTCTGTTGTTACTTATTTGCACGGATTTTAATGGATTTCAATGGATTTTTATATACAAAAACAATCCACCATAATCTTGTAGAGACTTCCCTCGTATTTCAAAATCCATGATCTTTTAAAATCCATCAAAGTCATCAAATATGAGACTTCTGCTTGTGAACTCGTATATTGTTTTATTCCTAATAAAATATAGAATTTTCCCTTTGAATAATTCAAATTAAATCTTATCTTTATATAATATAAAGGAATTGAGTGGACAATTGGATTTCTCTAATTATTCCCGCCTATTCTCACATTGAATCAATCTTCAAGTCATAACATCTTTATATAATATAAAGGAATTAGGTGGACAATTGGATTTCTCTAATTATTCCCGCCTATTTTCACATTGAATCATTCTTCAAGTCATCTTTATATAATATAAAGGAATTGGGTGGACAATTAGATTTCTCTAATTATTCCCGCCTATTCTCACATTGAATCATTCTTCAAGTCATAACATTAAATTAAGTAATTTATTATACGTAGTATATATGGTAAGCAATGCATACTAAAGGAGATGCTTGAATGTGAGATGTTTGACCAGTGTATGAGACCCGAAAATGATCAAGGTACAATAACTTTTTTAATGAAATTGAGCTATAATAACTTAGTATATCAATTTCATAATAATATAATCAAAACAGGCATACAATTCAATCCACTACAAAAAATAATTGACTATTTGTGATGAACAATTTTCGACCAACTTTAAATTCACTCGAATTATAATGAAGATATGTGTTTTATGGACCATATATATTGTCGTACCACATGTATGTGATTACAAGGGTAAATACACATATAGTTTGAACAAATTAAGAAGTTCATTATCAACGTCCATAATTACTTGAATCCAATTACAATTTTAGAATAATTTGAAAAATCACCTGTAAGTTGATTTTTCCCGTGCAATGCACGTGTTCATTGTCTTATGACATTACTTACACAAACTCAACCTCGTATTTATGTAGAATAACTATAGTTGTTATGTATAGACAGTACTTCGCACTTCCCTTAGATATGATTGATCTAAGGTTGAATGATCAAGGAAATATTTCCATAGTTGAAGTAACAAGAATGTAATATTCCCATTTGTAATTCCAAAATGTGTATTCATATTTTGGACAATTTCTGAGGAGCAATATATATTCAATCATGCTATTTGTGACTGCACTTAATTTCATAAGGAGATATTAGATATACAGCGGACCTTTTCTCATCAGAGCTCTCTTTACTCTTCTGCTTTGTGGCGTAGGCATTGCCGGAGACGAGCAACAGCAGAGACGCGAGAGAGATGGCGGTGAGCCACTTCTGCGTCAACTCCATAGTTGTTTTCTGGATGGCTTCCACTAAAAATTGAGATATCTAGAGAAATGGTGACGCAAAGGACAACTTCTACATCCCAAGACTAACGGTTTCCTCTACTTATAAAGGCAGTGTCTGTTGGAATGGGATAATATGGTCTTTATTTTTATTACTTCCTCCGTTCCGAAAAATTCTTCGCGATTTAACTTGGATTGAAGTTTAAGAAAGAGGAAATAAAGTAGAAATGTACGGTTGTTGTTAAATGAGAAAAAGATTAATGAATGGTAGTCACACAAACCTTTCCAAAAAGAGAAATGAAAAAAAATTGAGACATTCCAAAAAGGTAAGTGGGAAGAACTTTCAGGAATGGGGAAGTATGTGTCTATCTCTCTTATATACGTGTACATTGTACATTATTCATATTCGATCTAAATTGAATGATGATTTTTATTGTACTTAGAGCATCTTCAATGTTACAATGCACACGTGCTAATGTGGCATGAAAGATAGTCACATAAATATTACTTCGTAGCAAATAAATTTTATTTCTCCTTATTTGAATGATTTTATATAATTTTAGTAAGTTTTTTTCTACAATATCAACATCTAGATCATCTTCTTGACATTGTGGAAAAAAATACCAAAATCGTATAAAATCATTCAAATAAGGAGAGAGAGAATTCTTTTGTTAATATTTATGTTGTTATCTCTTATATCACATGTGCACCATGCAAATTGTGTCATAAAGTATTAGATCTAAATTACGATTTATCAACCGAGAAATAAGACAGGGACGAGTAAAATCGAGTACTTACCATTTGATCTTTTGTTCATTTTCTAAAACTATTATTATCATCGGTATGAAATAGGGCTTTTACAACTCATACTTTATTTAATTTTTCCTCTTACTTTTTAAATAATTGACTGGTGATATAACATAACCCTAAATTTCCGTAAATTTCTATCCACTAGAACGATAATGATCGAATCGAATACTACAAAAGTCTAATAATATGTTAAGTTCACACATTTGTCAATTCAAGACTTTCAACCTAAACATATTTAACTTACTAGTAGTAAAAGTATAAAAAACCATCGAGGTGACTTTATTAAAAGACTTTTACACATTTGTGATAATACTTGGAGTATTGACTCCTAGAGAGAAGTGATATGTATTAATGATTTTTGAACCCTTTACATGGCTTCCGAGGAGAGTATTTATAGGGAAAAGTGGGTTGGGCTCCCAAATCTTGGGCTTGGGAGGCCCATTACAGTATAAGGTCTCTATTGGGCCGACTACATGAGGAGTCTAGTTCTGAGAGCTCTCTGTGGCCGACAGACGTCTGGCCGATGGAGACATGGCCAACGGAGACCCGGCCGACGGACGTCTGGCCGATGGAGACACGGTTGACGAAGACCCGGAGGACGGACGTCTGGCCGATGGAGGCATGGCCGATGGAGACATGGCCGACGGACGTCCGGCCGACGGGGATCCCCTGGTTCTTCTGGCTTCTGGATCATATTCTGAGTTGATATCTTTCTGGCCGATGGAGGACTATCTGGCCGACGGAGGACCCACTGGACGACAGCTGTGCTTGCTCTTAGTCTTCTGAGTACGTGGGTCATGGGTTCTGGACCCATATATTCCATTAGGAGTCCCCCAATCTCTGAGCGTAGATGTAGACGGAGTGAAAGGGAGTAGATCCTTGTTGTCTTGATGCTTTTGGCCTTCGGAGGATTACCTGAAAGTTCTGGCATTTCTGGTCGAGGGGTTCCATAACTGAGCCATCAGGAACGTCCTTCATTTTGAGGTCGATGCGGTGCCATAATTGTTGGCTGCCTTTTGTCCTTCCTTCCGAGGACGATGAGTGTCCTTCATTTCGAGGGCGATGAATGTCCTTCATTTCTAGGACGATGAACGTCCTTCATTTCAAGGACGATATATGTCCTTCATCTTGAGGACGATGGATGTCCTTCATTTGAGGACGATGGATGTCCTTCATCTTGAGAACGATGGATGTCCTTCATTTTGAGGACGACGAACGTCCTTGTACCGACGGGTCTTACGATTGTGGACGTTCGTGGCATGTTTGTTTTGTTCGTAGTGTGAACGATGAATGTCATTGTCCGGGAGATGATGCGTGCCATTGGCCTTGAGGATGATGTGTGTCCTGCTTTGTGTTTCGGCTTGGCCGAAGGGTGACCACAAGACTGTGGACGTTGTGCGTCCATGGTTTTTGAGGACGTTGAATGTCCTACCTTTGTATTTTTGACTTTGGCCGAAGGTGGACGTCCGTGGTGTCCTTGTCATTCTGGCTGACGGTGGATCACATGGTTGAGGATGTTCGTGGCTTGTGGTCCTTTGTGATTTTTGAAATTGTTTGTCTTGGGATCTTTTTGGAGCCCATGGAGGCCGATATAGTCCCCCAGTCCCCCACTCCTTGAGGCACATGTAATGAGGTGAAAAGGAGTAGAGTAATGCGTTTCTTCAACAGGGGGCGGGGGTGACACCTTTTTATCCACGATGGGGCGATGCCTCGTTAAAAACCTCATTAGGAAAAACCCTGTGGGAAAAAATTCTAATGAGGGAAAAAGAGCAGACTGGATACCCCCAAAATGAACTCCAAGGGGTGAACCCTTCGGCCTAGGTGTGGAACTGCAGCGGTGTTCGTTTGCTGAGGGGAATCCCGTCTACTGGTGAGGACGACGGCGCTGATGAGCAGGTTCGAATCAGAGGATGAGGCGATGGACGCCTGTCTGAATACGAGGACGAGGCGGTGGACGCCTGTCTGGACATGAGGAAGACGGTGGTGATTAGCCATGCGTCATATGAACGCGACGGTCGCTATCCGGGTAGGGATTAGCGAGCCCAGTCGCTATAACAGTACCTCAGTGTTGGAAGCCGGTCTCGAGATATGAGGACGACGACACAGAGGGGCCGGTCCGGAATCCATGCAACAGTCGTCATCCGGTAAAGGAATGGCTAAGACCGGTCTTGAGATATGTAATCACACGAGGGCCGAGGGGCCGTTCGTGATGTGTGGACGGCGATGGGGAGCTAGTCTGTAGCATGATGATGAGGCAATGATGAAGCCGACCGTCAAGTAAAGGTGATGGTCACTATCCAGGAGGGGATTAGCGAGCGCAATAGCTATAACAACACTTCAGCGCTGAGGAGTCAGTTTTGAGATAAACAATCATGCCGAGGCCGAGGGACCGGGCGTGATTTGAGGATGACGGCGATGATGAAGCCGGTCCAAATAAATGATGATGAGGCGTTGATGAAGCCGTTCATCATGTAAGCTCAAGGCTCTCGGTGCTGAGGAAGCCGGCCTTGAGATAAATAATTACGCTGAGGCCGAGGGACCGGGCGTGATTTGAGGATGATGAAGATGATGAGCCGTGCGTGATCTGAGGACGTATGGTGTTGTGGAGGCCGCTCGTCTCATGAAGGCAAGGGTCGTCATCCATGAAGGGAATGGTGAGCCCGATCGCTAGCTCAAGATGCTCGGCGCTGAGGAGGCCGATCTTGAGATGAAGGATCACATTGAGACTGATGGGTCTGCCGTGATCTGAGGACGAGGGTGCTGATGAAGCCGCTCCTCGCATGAAGGTGAGGGTCACCATCCAGGAAGGGAATGGTGAGCCCGCTCGCTAGCTTAAGATGCTCGACGCTGAGGAGGTCGGACTTGAGATGAAAGAACACGTTAAGACCGAGGGGTCTGCCATGATCTGAGGACGAGTGTGTTGATGAACCCGCTCGTTGCATGAAGGCGAGGGTCGCCATCCTGGAAGGGAATGGTGAGCCCGCTCGCTAGCTCAAGACACTCGGCGCTGAGGAGACCGGTCTTGAGATGAAGGATCACGTTGAGACCGAGGGGTCTGCCATGATCTGAGGACAAGGGTGTTGAGGAAGCCGCTCGTCACATGAAGGCGAGGGTTTCCATCCTGGAAGGGAAAGGCGAGCCCACTCGCTAGCTAAAGACGCTCGGCGCTGAGGAGGCTGGTCTTGAGATAAAGGATCACGTTGAGGCTGTGGGGCCGTTCGTGAACTGAGGGCTGCAATGATGAGCCGGTCCAATGAATGATGACGAGGCAATGATGAAGTCGATCTTCATATGAGCTCAAGGCTCTCGGCGCTGAGGAAGCCGACCTTGAGAGAAAGGATCACGTTGAGGCTTAGAGGTCGTTCATGATCTGAGGACGTACGGTGATGAGGAAGTCGGTCCTTTGATGATGGACAAAGGCATTTGGACGCTCGTCTGAAGATGAGGGACGGTGGAGCCGGTTCAATGATGGTCCAGGCTTCGACGCTCGTCTGGAGATGAGGACGGGGCTGATGAGGCCGTCTGAACATGCGGGACGGTGATGTGAGTTTTCTCTTACTTAAAATAGATTGTAGTAAAGGGTGTAAGTACGAGTATTGTCTCCACAGGGACGGACAAAAGCGAATTAAGAATTAAATAAATTCAGCGATTAGAAATAAATAAAATAAATGCGTCGTGCGAGATTTGATTGATTGGGAAAATTAACTTGCAATTAAATGAATACTAAAGCTAAGGGATTCTTTCTAATTAACGAAGAAGGGAATAGGGATTGATTCCGAGGTAACCAGATTTCCGACAGATCAGGTCTAATGACATGAAATTAATTTAATTGAGCCTAGCTAGTCATTACTAAGTTCTTAGCGCTCTCGCGGCGTAGAGTACAATAATTTAGGGGACCAGACTGATCTCTCATGCGAATGGATCCTAAATTATTGCCAAGACGAGCGAGCTTATGGCCTCTTAATCACTACAAATATCTTAGCGAACGATTAAGTGTGTGTGAATGTGTCCTAGAATAAATTAGATCTTTTTTAGCTTATTCTACAAGCAATTGTAATTCTAGCGCGCGTTCTAGGTTACAAGAGATATCAATTAAATTATTCAAAGACAAATTAAAC